TATTTATTTGGGATGGGTCTGCTGGAGACAGAGAAAGGGACAGGAAAGGAGACTGAGGAGACACCCCGTTGCTGCTGCTGCTGCTGCTGCTGCTGCTGCTGCTGCTGCTGCTGCTGCTGCTGCTGCTGCTCCGTCCCCCTCCACTAAAAGTTTCAGTGAAATTACAGAGGAAGGGTTTCAGGGTCCCGCTGCTGATGCTGATGCTGCTGCTGTTGCTGCTGCTGCTGCTGCTGCTGCTGCAGTTGCTGCTGCTGCAGCGTCTCTCCCGTGTGTACCTTTGGGGCCTGGGTGTCTCCTTCGTGTGGCTCTGGCCCCTTCCTTGTCTCTGTCTCTATATCTGTTATTTGTTTATTTATATTTCTTTAAATATAAAAAGAAAAAATAATTAAAACCCGGAGACAGTATATGGAGCTGAGGAGACAGCAGCAGCAGCAGCAGCAGCAGCAGCAGCAGCAGCAGCTTGGCCAGTGGTGCTCTGGGCCAGCCCAGGCCAGACCACCGGTGGATGCACTCAGGATGTATAATTATTTTATTATTTTATTATTTTAATATTTTATTATATTTATTTTATATTTATTTTATTATTTGTTTTATTAAACTGAGGCCGATCAAAAGAAAAAAAAAAACCGCAGACAAACAACACAAAAGGAGACAGGTGGAGACAGTCTCCTGCGCCTCCTCCCCTCCCCCCCAACCAGCTGTGCACTGTCTCCTGCATGCGGTGAAGAGACACTTACACTTTCTGTCTAGTTGAGGGTTTTCGCAGCTCCTGGGGCCCCGCTAGGGGGCCCCATGTGGGGGCCCCTTGGGGGGCCCCCTACGCACCCCTGTGAGAGACACACCACGGGGTGTCTCTGGGGAACTGCCTATACACCTGAGCAGCAGCTGTTGAACCCCTAGGGGCTGCGCTTGGGGTGTAAAGGCAGAGGCAGCTCGAGAGCTGTGCTAGTGTGTAGACAGAAGGAGACACGAGGAGACAGCAGGAGACCCCCCACACTACTTCGTCGCTGCTCTAAACTAAAGGAGACAGACATAAAAGAGACACATTAAACCATAGATTCTGCTGCTGCTGCAGCAGCTGCAACAGCAGCTGATGCTGCTCCCGTCTCCTACCTCTCCAGTAGACACAGAAGAAGGCGGAGGCCGCTCTGGACTGTCTCTATCTTCAGTCTTTTATCATCCCCCTCTGTCCCCTCTGTCTGTCCCTCTTCTTCTTTCACTGTATCCCTACTGTCTCCTTTGCCTCTCCTGTCTGTACCTCGCCTGTCTCTTCTCTGTGTCTGCCTACTCTCTCCTTAATGTCTCCTCTCCGTCTCTTTCCGTCCTCACCATCTCCCCACCGTCTTCTCATTTTCTCCTTTCTGTTTTCTTTCTATATCTTTCTGTCTCCTTTCTGTCTCCTCTCTGTCTCTTTCTGACACATTGCTGTCCCCTCACTGTCCCCCCATTGTTTCCTTTCTGCCTCCTTTCTGTCTCTTCACTCTCCCCGTGAAGCCAGCAGGAGGCCTCAGGCGTAGCCCAAAGAGCAGCAAGAAAAGATAAGTGTGAAATTCCTTCGCAGACGATAGTTATAATTATTATTACTAATAACGATAGAAACAATAACTATAACTATACTTACAATTATATTTATAGTGTAGCTCTTGCATCTCTTCTCCTTTCTCCTGTCTCTCTTCTCCTGTCAGCTTTCGCTTGTGTCTCTTCTTCTGTCTCTCTTGTCTCCTGTCTGCTGTATGTGGCTTGTTGTAGCCTGAAGAGAGCAAAAAAAAAAACGTTATAGACCTGTAATCCATAAGCATGTGGCGTCGGGCCCGCCGACGCCAACGATTTCTTCTGGGGGGCCGAGAAGAGCCCGGAAGAGTTCTGGGGGGACCGCCTCCAGTAAGCTATCTTCCGAAACCCACTCAGGTTCACGGGCTCTCAAGTATTTTACGTAGTATTCTCGTTTTCTGTGGTCTCCGCGAGTGGTAACCCTTGCCTGTAGAATCTCTGTATCCTGCATGCGTGGCTTCTGACGATGACGTTGCTGCTGTTCCCCCACCAGAGTGCGAGGGGATCGCGGGGATTCCCGAAACAGTTTTTTAAGAAACCGAAGTTAATAGTGTGATGACATCTCCACGTTGAGGGTAAGTCAACGATGCAGGCCAACACTGTAATACCCTGGTATTCTACGCGGATGACGAAGCAGAGCTAAACACTCTTTTCTATAGTGAAACGCCCGAACTTTGTTTTTTAAAAATGTGAGAAACAGATAATATTTACGCGGTAATGTTCTTGGATGAGGGTTCATAAACCTGAACTGAGAATGATAGCCCCTGCAACAAGTTACATACAGTAGCACAGACCCACATGTTTATGCTTTAGGGTTTAGGGTTAGCTGGTCAGCTAAGCAGCGGAAAAACACACGATGAATATTCTTAACCCGTAAATATTCCAGCCGATAGAAATGAAAAGAAATAAACATTTGGAGGCGTGTGGCCAGAGCCCGCAAACTCCCTTC